AGGTCCGTAGCCTTAAAATTTCCTTCTCTTTTTTTTTAATTTTTATTTTGAGTTCCAGAATAAATGCTTGTTTAAGAAATGTGACTTGCTTTCTATGTAGAAATCATGCTTTAGGAATTATTTTATTGAAAAACCATGATTTGTGGTTCATTGCGTAGGCAATAGAAAATTTGAATAAGAATGCAATGTGTTTAACTAAATTCTCATATGAACTTTGGTATGGAATTTGCTCATAGTACATCCTATTATTAAACCTTTAGGTAATATGTCATTTTCAGCTATTTAAGAATCATGTTTATAGGCCATGAATTTTTATGGATTAGCCACTATTTACTTATTTAAATGTCATATGGAAGAAGTACTCTGCTAAAATATTGTTTAAGAAAATGATTCACTGTTTTAAATAGTACGTGAACATGGATCTTGTTAAGAGAACTTGTTACTTTTAAATTAATCAATTAAATATTATATGGAGTAGTAGTAGCTTGACCCAACTGATCGGAAGCATGTTAAAGTGACATATATATATATATATATACACGTTCTTAGAGTGGTAGTTAAAGATCATTCTTAGATCCTTACAAGTATATTTGCTAGGTAAATATTACGTTCTTAAGTTTTATAAAAACATCCTTTTCTTGCAACATGTATCCTATTTGAAGCTTTTGAGATTTGTTCCTTGTCTCTATAATACTTGGGACACACACTCAATGCAATCTTGTCTTTGCCTCGCTTCATTGTTTCATTTTCTTCATGCTTGTTGAAGATTTAAGACCTCTGCTAATTTTATTCTTTTATTTTTTTTCTTTGCATGTTACACACACCGGAGTCAAAGAGTCTCAAAGTTAGACTCCACGCCGCTGCCAACCCTCATACCTTTACTCGTCCCTTTGAATAGCGAAACTTGGGGAGATTTATCCTCCTGACAATTGGATAGAAGTTTTATTACATTATTTTAACTTATTTTGGTTTATCCTTATTGACTAATATTTACTTGTGTGTTTGTTGTGACTATTCGTTTGTTTATAAGAGTTGGGCCTTAGATCATTTAGAGTTATTACTAGGTAACAATAAGGATGTTTGTTTTATCAAGAAGAATATGGGGTAGAGGTCTAGAACTCTGTAGTTATCCTAAATTTATCTACATTAGGTTTGATCTTTGGGAGTTTAATAATTTAATATCCTTTTGCTTTTAAATGTTAAACGCACTTGGCTGGAATGATTTGTGATTTTGAACTTGTAAAGTATTTCCTCACGCGAGAGTGATTTTCCTTAAACATTTTGTGAATCTTAGATTTGTTTCAAGTTTAGTGATTAATCTGTTCTCGTTAGGAAGATGTTTTTTGACCCAAGCAAGCTTTAAATTTTCTTTCACTTTGTTGAATTGTTTTTCTTAGCTAATTGTTGGAAACTTAATGAGTTTTGAATTTTGTTTAATAGTTTTGGGCTTTTCTTTTATGAGCTTAAAACAGTCTAAAACAATTTTCTTGGTCCAATTGTAAATCTCTACTTTGGAATGACTTACTATTAACTCTTTTCTAATAAGTATATTCTCACCATTTAGTTGTTTTACTAATTAACCTAAGTTTGGCTGGTTAACCGAAATTAACGGATCATATAGGGTGTTTTAACAACCTTCCCTATAGGATTAATTAGAACCCTTACTCATAATTTTAAGATTAAGTAGACCATAAAATATAGTTGATTTTAAGTATTATTTTGTAAATAGGTGTCCAAATTCACCTTTAAAAATAATTAGGTGGCGACTCTCTTAATTAATTAAACCTTCAAAATTACCAATATATTATACCCTGGTTTGACCTGTGTTAAAATGGGGTATAACAGCATGGCAACTCTGCTGGGGAGTTTAGGTTTTAATCCATAACAAACTTAGGTTAATAAAAATGGCTTTTGTATTTTGTGAATGTTTTTGTTTGTTGCCTTATTTGAAAATGTGCTCTTTCTTGTAAAATGTAATTACTATATTTTATAAACTGTCATTCCGTTTTCACTTCCTCCACTTTTGGAAAATTCACACTGAGCACACACCTAGCAGTTATGCGGTTTACGGCCGTGCACTTTTTCAAAAATACATTTTAGGGGAAAGTTTGTGGGTAAGTCGATCAGCAGTGCAGTTAACAGTCACAACTTTTCACTCTCAAGTTGTCCACTTGGGAAAAGACCAGTCTAGAAAATCCACTCTTAGCCGACCTAGGATAGAGCTAAACCAAATCCCTTCTTAGGGGCATACATCACGCAACCTTAGGAGGCTTAATACCCTAGGTGTATTAAGTCCATTAGTTAGCCTTACCCAAATGTCCAAGCGGGTTTATAAACCCAAGCAACACCTATTCATCCTTTATGTGCACTATTTGAAAGATAAACACATTGATTATATGGACCATTTACTCATAAAAGGGAAAACGGGTAGGATTAACCTTTTCTGTAATGCAGGAAATCATGAATCAAGTTGTTTACCCAAAGATTGGCATGGTGTTGGACATCCCTCCCAAACTAAAGGCATGGTGGAGAAACATAGGAGAGAATGCACAGTCCGAAGTACGAAAGAAGTTGGGTCACCTACCGTTACTTATGGAAGTCACATCATGTAGGGAAATTATTGAAGCAACAGTCACCTTTTGGGATGAAGAAAGAGCCGTATTCAAATTTGGGAAAAATGAGATGACACCATTGTTAGAAGAAATTAGAGGCTTAATAGAGAATGTAAGTTTGTTATGGAAAGGCAGACATTCTTGGCAAAACGCTTGCATGATTATTCCAAAAAATCCCCTGACAAAACAGTTCCTTGAAAAGTTTGGTTTTGAGAAAGAAATTGGGATAGAGCATTTGAAAGAATCCAAGATACCCCTTGACTATTTGTTCGACATCTTTGGCCATTCAGATGCTTTTCTACGACATTGAGAGGTGTTCTCCTCACACGCTTCTTAGAGTGAAAAGAGGGTATTCGCTTTTTCGGTTTGTTTTCTCGGGCTCCTAGTATTTCCCTGAGGAGCAAAACATGAGATTCACACCCGACTTGTCATGGTTACTGATGCATTATTTAATGACATTGATTGAAAGCCATACACCATAGTGCCAATGGTTGTTGCAGATATATACCGAGCTTTGGTCCTTTGCAAGAAGGGATTTAAACATTTTGAGGGATGTAATTTGTTGCTACAGTTGTGGTTTATGGGGCATCTCCAAAAGATCAGTGGAAGCCAAGAGCTTTACAAGCAAAATGGTGCTAATCATATCACGTCATACACGATCCCAGTGGTTGCATTCAAGCGCCCAAATAGTGTTAAAGGATGGGGCAAGTTACTTAGCAAGCTGAACGTCACCACGATTCAATGGATGTTTTCTTGGTATCCTTCTGAGAATTTTGTAATCCGTGAAAAAATGCTACCTTACTTGGTTTTCATCGAGCTTCGAGGACTTCAACCATATGCTCTATTGTGAGTTATGAGACAAGCTGGAAGAACGCAAGTCATACCGCAAGTTGATAACATGGATCATTATCGAATTGACTATGATAATGATAAGATTTCTTTTGCGAATGAAATTCTTAGGATGTGGAGAAACAAGAGAGCTATGGTCAAAGATAAAATTGCACCAGATAGGTACCAAGTTGGATGTGACATTTTTTACTTAGAATGGTTACTTTCCAACCTTGAAGGTTCTGTCACAAGAGGAATTAATGTAGGAGGCCGAATCAAAGATAAGGTAGTCGAAGCTGAAATCAAGTACTGTTGGCTGAAAAGAAGGGTGTCCGAGTCTAAAGCAAAGCACATGGAGCAGCATGAGAAGGACAACAAAGAAATTGAAATGTTGAGACAACGAGAGGAAATGCAGAAGCAACAAATAGAAATGTGGAAACAACAAGCTGTGGAAATGGAGCAAGGACTCAAAAGTTTGGATGGAGACCTCGAGGAGCAATCCATAGAATGTTATTGTCGAGGACTCGACGAAGAAGGAAAGTTGCCATGGTTTACCTTGTGAAGAATCGCCAAAAAATCGACGAGGCAATAAGAGCAGCGAAGAGGCTAAGGGGCAATGGAGAACCATCCTCAGTCAATTAGATTAGAACTATGTTGTAATCTTTATTAAGGCTATGCCATTGTAATCATTTTAGACTAAGGCGATGTTAGTATTCAATAAAAGTTTATTTTGGGGGTATCTAATTAAGGAGCAATGGAATGATATATAATGGTGTGTTTATCTCTCAAATTTTCGCTAGGCCTACCTCTGGCACAAAGAGGTCCCGTGCATACTAGGATACGCTTAACATTGCTTGACTTGTTTGTATTGTTACGTGATTTGTTTGCTATGTGATATACTTGCTTTTAAATCTAATCACCACTTAGTAACATTATCTTTTATTTCATGTTTAGAGGTTTTCTATTTTATTACTCCCCAAGGTTGATTTTTGTTGACTGCGAACTGGCTGAACACCCATACTTCACGAGATCCAAGGCACGAGTAGCTACCAACATAACTGGTTCAAACACATCTAATATGATAGGCTTGGGACTTGTCACCGTTCAAAGAGACGAACCCGAGGCTTCAGAAGGAAGGGAGGTTACCCTTCATGATGAGCACATCGCCCAGTTGTCGCAACAAGTGGTTAACTTGCAAGGTGAAATCGAACGGCTTCGTAACCTTACCAATCTTTCTATCAGCCTCAATACACCACTTTCTGAAGAAAGGACAAATGCACATATCCCACCACCTTTCCCATCATTTGAATCACCTATATCGGAACACCTTCCACCAAACCCTCCACTTCACAACAACAAGCCAACATCCACTAACGCACATGCTAACCCCCAACAAGCCAACCCATCGAACTTCAACACATCATATGTTTTCCAACCACCACTAGCCCAAAGCACCTTGCTCACCCAAAACCACCATGTAACCCAACACCTACCGATGCCACATATCACTATCATGTGCCACCGGTATATGTAGCAGAAGCACAACCTTTTACTACCCCTATGCCTCACCAACTTCACTCCGAAGTGAATCAGCATCGGGAAGCAGAAAAGGAAGTAAGGGCCAAAGCCGACGAGTATATGGCCAAGGAGATCCATGAGTTAAAGAAAGCATTCAAAAATCTGAAAATCGTTAGGAGTATGGAAGGTTTAGAGTACGAGGATCTATGTGTTCATCCCGATGTCGATTTACTTGCAGGATATAAAGTACCAAAATTTGACATGTTTGATGGAAAAGGAAACCGACGAGCTCATTTGAGGTCATATTGTCATAAGTTAGTTGGAGTGGGAAAGGATGAAGCTATCAGGATGAAACTTTTTATAAGGAGTCTTACAAGGGAAGCCATTGATTGGCACACAATTCAAGGCCCACAGAAATGGCGCAGCTGGAGTGTCATGGCGCAAGAATTCATGGACAGATTCAGATTTAACACTGAGACCAATCCAGATAGATTCTATTTGATGACGTTGGAGAAGAAAACAATAGAATCCTTTAGAGAGTATGCCATGAGATGGAGGGCAGAAACAGCAAGAGTCCAACCTCCAATGGGAGAGGATGAGATGACAACTAATTTTATTCGATCTTAAACGGATGCCACATACTATGAGAGACTGATAAGCATGCTGGGGTAGAAATTCTCAGAAGTTTTTAGGATGGGAGACGTCATAGAGGAAGGTCTCAAATCTGGAAAGATTACAAATTTGGCAGCACTACAAGCAACGAGTAAGGCAATCCAGTCAGGAACTATTGGAGGAGCAAGTAAGAAGAAGGAGAAAGAAATATCCGCTGTTATGACCGTCCAGGACCGCAGGCCTAACCAAATGTTAACCTACAAAAACCCATTACCCCAACCTTCATACTATAGCCCATACACCCAAACCCCTCAACCTTATTACCAGTCTTCACCCATTCCCTATCCTATTTATAATGCCCAACCAACCTATTATCCACCCCGAGCACCCATATACCCGAATCCATCACATTACTAACCCACATATCCATCTCAACCCCGCTACCAGTCCCAAAACCGCTCAAATGCACCTAGACCTCGCCCCAGCTTTGAAAGAAAACCAGCCAAAACCTATACACCCCTAGCTAAACCTCTAGCCCAGTTGTATGAAAGGTTGAAAGCCGCAGGAGTACTCCAACCAGTCCCAGGAAGAGTTCCCGACCCCCTCCCAGGATGGTATGATGGGACTAAGAGTTGTGCATATCACTTTGGTGTGACTGGACATGATACTGAAAATTGTCTTACTCTCAAAGATAAGATCGAAGAGTTGATCAAAGCAAGAACCATTCAGCTTAAGGGAGCTCCCCCGAATGTGAACAACAACCCTCTTCCAAATCACGATAATACTGGTATTAACATGATATCTACTGATGAAGATTGGAATTTGGAAGGTACAATTGTACCAATTGAAGACGAGAAAAAGGCCATGTCATCTGCCTTTATTGCTCATGTCATCACAGTGCAAGTGCGAGCACCAATTGAGGTGGATGTTCTCCCTCTGAAACCCAGGATCATGGCTCTAGTTGCTCAGACGCCCTCATTTGAAACCAACGCAGTTCCTTGGGACTATCAGTCTGATGTAAGGAACAAAGGAAAGGAAAAATTAGTTGTAGAAGCTGCTGCTGCAGGTATGACGAGATCCGATCGGTGTCATGTTCCTGAAGAACAATCACAAGGAACTTCAAGTAAGGACAACAACCAGAAGAAGTCTGTGACAAAAGCTGAAGCAGAAGAATTTTGGAGAAAAATGCAATGTAGCGGATACTCTGTTGTAGACCAACTGAAGAAGACGCCAGCTCAAATTTCCCTCATGTCATTATTGATGAGTTCCGACAGCCACAGGAATGCTCTGGTAAAAGTACTCAATGAAGCATATGTGCCAGCCGAGACAACTAGTGAACATTTGGAAACTATGGTAGCCCAAATTCTAGAAGCCCGTAAGATTTCTTTTCACGAGGATGAATTGCCACCTGAAGGTCTAAGTCACAACAAAGCTTTGCATCTCACTGTCAAGTGCAGGGATAAGATTGTTTCTAGGGTTTTGATCGATTACGGTTCTGCACTCAATATATGTCCTATCAGTACCCTCAAAGCTTTGGGAATTGACGTTGGAAAAGTTCATGAAAGTCATGTGAATATTAGAGCTTTTGATGGAGCGCAAATGAGCGTTATTGGTGAAATTGACTTAGCATTACAAATTGGGCCTGTGGAGTTTATCATTGAATTTCAAGTGTTAGACATATCTGCTACTTATAATTTGTTGTTGGGAAGGTCGTGGATTCACATGACCGGTGCAGTCCCTTCCACTTTGCACCAGAACGTGAAGTTTGTGTGGAATCACCAGGAGGTTATGATTCATGGAGAAGCAAGCAATCCCATTTACCCCGGGAATTCAATCCCTGTCATTGAAAGTGTGGAGAGGCTGGATAGAGCCACCTTCCACATTGAAGAAATTGTGACTGTTACTCGAGGTAAAGATATAAAGTTGCCAAGTGTGTTCGTGATGGTGGCATCAGAAATGTTGAAGAATGGTTTCGAGCCTGGTTGAGGACTTGGAGTAAGGTTGCATGGAATAGTGGAGCCAATTCAGTTACCGGGGCAGAACAACACCTTTGGCCTAGGGTACGAACCCACTCCAAAAGAAGTATCGGAGGCTCGTCTCAAGAAGAAAGGTGACATTGTCCTGCCACAGCCTATCTCGCTGTTGAGCCAGTCATTCCCCAAGACAGTTACAATTCATGAGCTAGATGAAGATGCTGAAGATGACCTCGTTGAAGGAATCAGGAACCTATTTATTGCTGATTGCAACGTGATTCTGAAAGATTGCACTGAGACGCTAACTATTTGGGATGTCGCACCTGGAGATGTTTTGAACAATTGGACTTGTACCCCGTGCCCGGTTCGCAGGGAGTCTTGGTAGATGGATTGTATTAGTACTTTTTAAACAACGCGATTCAAAATTGAGGCCTGAATCGTGTCTACGATTTTATGTTGTTTGTCTCGATCTTTTGGAAGCTTAAATGCAAAATCTGAATATGTTTTTCATTTTACATTTAAATTTTTGTCTTTATTAATTTTCTTTCTTTTTTATTTTATTTTTCAGCAAACAAATTAATAAAAACGCCGACATCATGAATGTGGCAGTGAAAGAAACAAGTGAACAAAATAACAAACCAGATTTTGAAGAATATGAAGAAGACGTGCCGCCCGCAGAATCAACTAAAGAACTTGAGCAGTTTGAGAACAAGTCAAAACCAAATTTGGATGAAACAGAGCTTATAAATTTGGGGAATTCAGAGTCTATAAAAGAAACAAGAATTAGTGTCCATTTAACACCATCAGAAAAGGAGAAATATGTGGATCTTCTGAGACAATACATCGATATGTTCGCTTGGTCGTATGATGACATGTCTGGTTTAAGCACTAATATTGTTCCCATAAGTTGCCAACGGATCCATCTTGTCCCCCGGTAAAGCAAAAAACAAGAAAATTCAAAACAGACTTAAGTTTAAAGATCAAAGAAGAAGTCTCCAAGCAATTTAAGGCAAATGTCATCCGAGTCACGAAGTATCCCACCTGGTTGGCCAATATAGTACCAGTACCAAAGAAGGACGGAAAGATCAGAATATGTGTGGATTATTGGGATCTTAACAAGGCTAGTCCAAAGGATGATTTCCTACTCCCGAATATTCACATACTCATTGATAATTGTGCAAAGCATGAGTTGCAGTCATTCGTGGATTGCTTTGCTGGTTACCACCAGATTTTGATGGATGAAGATGATACTGAGAAGACAACATTTATTACACCTTGGGGGTGTATTGTTATTGGGTGATGCCTTTTGGACTCAAGAATGCAGGTGCTACATACATGAGAGATATGACAACTATTTTTCATGACATAATCCATAAAGAGATTGAGGTCTATGTGGACGATGTCATCATCAAGTCACGGAAGAGTTCAGATCACTTGGTAGACCTGAAGAAGTTCTTTGATAGGTTGTGGCGATACAATTTGAAGCTGAATCCCACAAAGTGTGCATTCGGAGTTCCAGCTGGAACATTATTAGGTTTCATTGTCAGTAGAAGTGGCATAGAGTTGGATCCTTCAAAGATAAAGGTTATCCAAGACCTGCCACCTCCAAAGAATCGGAAGGACGTGATGAGCTTCCTTGGTCGCCTCAACTACATCGGTCGTTTCATAGCCCAATCAATAGTGATTTGTGAGCCGATATTCAAGATGTTGAGGAAAGATGCCACTACCAAATGGACAGAAGAATGTCAACGAGCTTTTGATAGGATCAAGGAATACTTATCTAACCCACCGGTGCTGGTACCTCCGGAACCTGGAAGGTCGTTGTTGTTATACATGTCCGTATCAGATAATGCATTTGGATGTGTTTTGGGGCAACATGATGAAACTGGGAGGAAGGAGCAAGTCATATACTACTTGAGCAAGAAGTTCACACCATATGAAGCAAGATATACTTTGTTCGAACGCACCTGTTGTGCCTTAACTTGGGTTGCACAAAAGTTGAGGCATTACTTGTCAGCATACACCACTTATCTCATTTCCAGAATGGACCCGCTCAAGTATATCTTTCAGAAACCTATGCCTACAGGGAAGCTGGCAAAGCGGCAGATTTTGCTAAGTGAGTTTGACATCGTGTATGTTACTCAGAAGGCCATCAAAGGACAAGTTTTAGCTGACCACCTCGCAGAACTCCTGTGGGTGAAGAATACAAGCCACTTAGGACGTACTTCCCAGATGAAGAAGTATTGTTCGCTGGAGAAGACATTTCAGAAGCATATTCTGGTTGGAGAATGTTCTTTGATGGAGCCGCAAACTTCAAAGAAGTCGGAGTTGGAGTAGTACTAGTTTCAGAATCTGGACAACATTATCCAATCTCAGCAAAACTTCGATTTCCATGCACCAACAACATGGCAGGCCTCATATACTTGGGCTCAGAATGGCCGTTGATATGAACATCCAAGAGTTATTGGTTATAGGTGATTCAGACTTGCTGATTCATCAAGTACAAGGCGAATGGAATACAAAGAACACCAAAATCCTACCGTACGTACATTGTGTAAAGGAGTTGTGTAAGAAGTTTATCAAGGTGGACTTCAAGCATATTCCAAGGGTTCAAAATAAGTTTGCAGATGCTTTGGCAACTTTGTCGTCCATGATTCAACATCCAAATAAAAACTACATAGACCCTATCAAGATGAATGTACAAGATCAACCAGCTTATTGTTTCCATGTGGATGAAGAGCCAGACGGAGAACCATGGTATTATGACATTAATAGGTATCTCAAAACAAGGGATTACCCTGAAGGAGCAACCAGTACCCAGAAGAGAACGCTTAGGAGATTGGCAAATCACTTTTTCCTAAACGGTGAAATCCTATATAGGAGGACCCCGGATTTAGGACTGTTGAGGTGTGTAGGTGCCAGGGAAGCAACCAAGTTGATTGAAGAGATACACGCAGGAACATGTGGGCCTCACATGAATGGGTTTACTTTGGCAAAGAAAATTTTGCGAGCAGGTTACTTTTGAATGACCATGGAAACAGA